GTTGACACCATTTGTGGTAAGAATCACTGAAAAACCCTTTGAGTTATTTAGCTAGAAAGAGAACAGGTTAAAATCGTTTTGAGTCATCCCCACTGTCTTCCCAAATGAGCAATGGTGAGAGGGAAAAAAAAGACCAATCAGATATGACGCTACTTTAATATGTCTGTGGCTATATTCATTTTTTACTAGTTCCGGATATCCTGAGATAATATCGTCGACAGTTTCATCATATTTTCCGCAGATCCTGCGTTTAGGGTTTGTTCCATCCTTTATTGTGTGATAGTGATAGGATCTGGTTCCGAGGCTTTGGTCCTGAGCTGCAATAATTACGCCTTCTGTTTCAGCTTTCAACCTGGTGCCTCTCAGCCACTGATGTGGTTTTCTTTTGGTCCACATCTGCTTTTTTCGTTCTTTTTAGGTATTTTCCATGCAACGCCTGGTCTTCCCAGTTTTTTTTTTTTTTTTTTTAATGAAATTTGACCAAGTTTTTTGTTTTCTGTTTTATTCGTTTGGTGTAGATGGTATTTGATTCGTTTTTGTTGGTAGGATTTCAGGTATATTAAGCTGTTTCTTGAAGAGTGCAGTTTCTTTGTGGCTGGAGTTAATTTGGGGTTTTACTATTTCTAGGAGATGGTTGCTGATTTTTGTGAGGTATGCTTATTATTATTATTATTATTATTATTATTAATGTCGCTTGCTGGCGAGAGAAATATGAAAAACAAGTTCATAGATATGAGCAGGAGAGAAAAATAGAATACGCCTCCTGATCTTTTCGGCAAATTTCATCAGTTGATTGTCATTGACTTTTGTTTATCTAGTCTTAGGCGATAAAACTCATCATAGTCGACGGTAATCGTCGACTCTTAAATAGATTAACCTTAAAGCGGCAGTCGAGCTGACTTTTGCCTCAAGCAAATGACCACAAAATCTGAGGTCATGATATTTTATAGATTGTACAGAAATGACATCGACTTAATAATATTTAAAGTTCTTCATTGTTTTTTCGATTCACTGTCGACTAAATTAAAAGTAACCTTCAAACTTTAGTACCAATTGCAATGACACAGAGAAACAGGTAAGTCTTAAACTTTTATAACTTTATGGATAGGTACTGACGTCTTTCTTACCAGCACCAGTGTTCAGTCTTCAGGATCAAGTAAAAAGATAAGATTTCGGTCTTTAAGGCCAGCTAAACAGTTGATATTTCAGAAAAAAAAATTGGATTTCAGTCTTTAAGCCGAGGTAAAAGCTAATATTTATTTTTCAAGCCCAGGTAAAAAGATAAGATTTCAATCATCAATCACAGATTAAACGCTGAAAACGGTAAGATTTCACTCCACAAGCCCAGATAAAACATAAGATTTCAGTGTTCAAGCCCAGGGAAAGAGCTAAAGTTACAGTCTTCAAGACCAGGATAAAAGCTAAGATTTCAATTTTCAAGCTTGAGTAAAAAGTTAACATTTCAGTCTCAAATCCCAGGTAAAAAGCTAAAATATGTCTTTAAACCCAGGTAAAAAGCTAAAATTTCTGTCTTCAAACCCAGGTAAAAAGCTAATATTTAAATCCTCAATATCAGGTAAAAAGCCATCAGTCATCAAGAACACATGAAAAGACAAAGTTTCAATCATCAAACCCAGGGAAAAAGATAAGATTACAGTTTTCACTATATATATAGTGAAAACCGAAATCTTATCTTTCTGTCTGTCTGTGGATGACAATATATATATATATATATATAGACAGATATATAGATAGATATATATATATATCTAATAGCAACAATAATAATATTTTCAATGTTTACATATACATGACACTCTAAAAAATTATTATTATTATTATTATTATATATATATATATATATATATATATATATATATATATATATATATATATATATATATATGAATGTGTCAGTGTATCACACTTTTTCAACTTTACTCCTAGATGCCGTAGCCAAACATGTTATACCATTTTGGAATCAGGCCGACTCCGTGAGCAAAGTAAACACATTCTTGGATCCGGACACGCAATCCTGAAATTTTGGATTCTCAAGTTTTCATTACTGTGATTATTTTCGGCAATATTTTTTTCAAGTGATGTTTTGCGACGAAAGTTTTTGTAAGATAACAATTCTTGGAAATAAAATTTGGGAATAATCGAAATTAATTGCGAATTCCAGCGAAATTCACCCATGAAATAAAAATAATTGTTTTTACGGAAAGTAAGGACCGATGTACATTAAATTTTCTTTAAGTTTCGTCAGAAGGATTATCGTTGAACTTCTAAAAAGTAAGCTTAAATATTAATGCAATACTTAAATACAGCGATCAATTTTGAGTTCTTCTGTAGTTTATTGTTGCCTATCGCAGACGGCAGCAGTATGCCTCTCAAAAAGAAACCTTCGCCAACAGATGACCAGATTGCAATCAAACGAGTCAATGCTGCAAGGAGATAAAGAAAGACTCGGGTAAATGAGATTCCAGATCAAGCAGCAGCCAGGGGCGCTTCAAATGCTGGGAATATGGAAAAACTGATGGAGTTTCAAACTCCTGAACAAACAGAAGTACCAATCAAGAGTTAACTTAAATGCCGCTCGATAGGGCGGCTTTTAAGCGAGTATATAAATATGTAAAAAATAATAATAACTGAAGATAACAAGTCTTTCCTATCCTCCATTTTAACCCATGTGTCACATTTTGTCCATTTTGGCGCCAATAGATTATACGATCAAACTATAATGGAGTATTGCTGCCATATATGGTCTGGAGCCCCTTCTGTTTGTATCAAGGTCTTTGATAAAATCCAGAGACGGATATGCAATGTAATTGGCCCTGATCTGGCATCTCGTGTGGAATCGCTCTCTCACAGACGTGTCGTCGCCTCCCTCTGTCTTTTTACAAATACTTTCACGGTAACTGCTCCGATGAGCTGCTTTCGCTGGTTCCCAGACTTCATAAATTTAGGCTGGCATACCGCTCTCACCCTTTCACTGTCGAAACTGTTAAATGTAGTCATCTCTTCTACTCCAATAGCTTCATGTCTCGCACTTCTCGCCTGTGGAACTCCCTCTTTTTTTCTTGTTTCCCTGATAGCTATAATCTCCAACTATTTAAATGTAATGTCAATTGATGTCTCCAAAGGCCTTGATCTATTCCCTATCCTTCTCTTCATCTATCCTATTTGCTCTTGCTCCAACTCTCTGTAACCCCTTGCGTGCTAGTGGCTTCTCGCCTTGCTTGGGGTGAAACGTGGAAAAAAAAGAAGAAAAATAACGACCCGTGACTGAGTCTGAAGTAATGAAAAGATTTGATTTCAGATAAAAGGAGTAAAACCATTCTGGTAGAGTAAAGGGAAAATTCAAGCAGAAAACAGGAAAACGTTTTAGAATACGATGGAAATGGCGGGAGGCGTTCAAGCATCGTTTAAGTTGGGAAGCCGAAAATAAAAATAGAAAAGTAACCCCTTGCGTGCTAGTGGCTTCTCGCCTTTTTTTTAGGAACGCTCAAGAAAAAAAAAAACTGTTCTTATAAATGTAATATGATTCAATCTCTTCGCTTCTATCTTCCCTTCTATCTTTCATTTTCTCACTGAAACCAAGTAGCGTCTGTAATAAGTCTTTTGTCTTTCCACGCGATCAAAGCGGAATTGTTCATTATTTATGAGGTATTGACAGGACGTAACTGTCGTGCGAACTAACGACGTGCGGGATATGTAGAATTATAATTCGATAATGATTACAACACAATGTTTTTCAAACTGCTTTTTTATATTTTTATCATACTTCTAACAGGCTTTTGAATTTAGAAAAGATTTTTAAAAAAAGCATTATCGACTCGAAAAAAAATGTTAATCACTTGAGAAATCGACTCATAAGAAGAAAAAGTGCGAGAAATGGATGCCTTTGTTGTGGGTCATGTGCTGAGGGAGGTATATTAGAAGGTAAATTTTTATAAGGTGAAAGTTATGCGTGTTTGCAATTTGGATTATCCCACAACAAATAGATTAGACAAAGAACATAAGGACAATTGCATAGCAAGGAATGACTGAACAACGTGATTAGAGATCAACAATAAAGAGATTGTTATGTAAAATAAATACACATGCAAAGATAAACAGAATTTATTGTTGGTTTGGTAATTGAGATAATGTTGGGAAGAATGTTTGTGCAGAATTGTGGTAAGTAAATGCTGATGCTTTTGGTTTGTTATTAAAATGAAAATAATTTCTGTTTCTGCATAGTAAAATATCAAAATGTATTGTTCAACTGTTAGTGTGTGTGAGTGTGTGTTATTTATGAGTCAGAATTAAAGTTGTTAAGAGTTGTTTGCCTTTGACTGATAGGCTAAATTGATGAATGTACAATTACTTTGACGTAGTGAAAATGTTCACTCTATAAGTCAATTGTAGGTGATGAATATCCACGCGGACAATGGTTATTTGAATGCTGTGTTGAGTTTCTTGAGGAACTTTAAGTGGTTGCGAGTCAGTAAAAAGAACAGCGTGGTGTTTGTATGGATCTCTTGAAATTTGATGACTGACTGACTTGAAGTGAATCATATGTTTGTTTATATAGAGTTGGGTGTTTAAAATTCGGCTCCAGGGACCTTAGGCGGGAAAAGTTTCTGTTGTGACTTTGCTGCAGTTTTAACCAATAGAAGATTGAATTTTACTGAAACGAAATGTTGATTGGTTAACGCTTTGCTCTATAGAAGGAAACATTTTTTTTCCGAAAGGGGTGGAAGGTTAATATAGAAGATTCTACACCTTTCTCTTTGAAGATAAAACTGTCTATGAAAATATTTTGATTCCTTCTGTCGAATCTGCAAGGAAAAGAGCAACTTACTTTCTGATCCGAATCCCCACGGGTAAAGAGATTTCGAACAGTAATGAATTGCCTATCTCGGTATATTCCACGATCAGAATGACAGCAACTCGAAATGCCACAAGAATTTTGAGAACAAAAGCAAAAATTCAATGTCGGCAGATTCCAAACAGAGATGTCTCATCATTTATCTATAATCATCGGTGAATTATGTCGTTTCACAAATCAGACCAATGGCGGGCTTCACAACATTGGATGCATATTTATTCCCATTCTGCTTGCTTGCTATCTATCTATCTATCTATCTATCTATCTATTCTCATTATGCTTCAATCTATTCCCATTAAGTTTATTTCTATCTATCTATCTATCTATCTATCTATCTATCTATCTATCCTCATTATGCTCCAATTTATTCCCATTTTATATCTATCTATCTATCTATCTATCTATCTATCTATCTATCTATTCTCATTATGCTTCAATCTATTCCCATTAAGTTTATTTCTATCTATCTATCTATCTATCTATCTATCTATCTATCTATCTATCTATCTATCCTCATTATGCTAATTTATTCCCATTTTATATCTATCTATCTATCTATCTATCTATCTATCTATCTATCTATTCTCATTATGCTTCAATCTATTCCCATTAAGTTTATTTCCTATCTATCTATCTATCTATCTATCCTCATTATGTCTCCAATTTATTCCCATTTTATATCTATCTATCTATCTATCTATCTATCTATCTATCTATTCTCATTATCTTCAATCTATTCCCATTAAGTTTATTTCTATCTATCTATCTATCTATCTATCTATCTATCTATCTATCTATCTATCTATCCTCATTATGCTCCAATTTATTCCCATTTTATATCTATCTATCTATCTATCTATCTATCTATCTATCTATCTATCTATCTATTCTCATTATGCTTCAATCTATTCCCATTAAGTTTATTTCTATCTATCTATCTATCTATTCATCTATCTATCTATCTATCTATCTATCTATCTATCTATCTATCCTCATTATGTCCAATTTATTCCATTTTATATCTATCTATCTATCTATCTATCTATCTATTCTCATTATGCTGTCTATTCCCATTAAGTTTATTTCTATCTATCTATCTATCTATCTATCTATCTATCTATCTATCTATCTATCTATCTATCCTCATTATGCTCCAATTTATTCCCATTTTATATCTATCTATCTATCTATCTATCTATCTATCTATCTATCTATCTATCTATCTATTCTCATTATGCTTCAATCTATTCCCATTAAGTTTATTTCTATCTATCTATCTATCGATCTATCTATCTATCTATCTATCTATCCTCATTATGCTCCAATTTATTCCCATTTTATATCTATCTATCTATCTATCTATCTATCTATCTATCTATTCTCATTATGCTTCAATCTATTCCCATTAAGTTTTATTTCTATCTATCTATCTATCTATCTATCTATCTATCTATCTATCTATCTATCTATCTATCCTCATTATGTCTAAATTTATTCCCATTTTATATCTATCTATCTATCTATCTATCTATCTATCTATCTATCTATCTATTCTCATTATGCTCAATCTATTCCCATTAAGTTTATTTTTATCTATCTATCTATCTATCTATCTATCTATCTATCTATCTATCCTCATTATGTCTAATTTATTCCCATTTTATATCTATCTATCTATCATCTATCTATCTATCTATCTATCTATCTATCTATTCTCATTATGCTTCAATCTATTCCCATTAAGTTTATTTCTATTCATCTATCTATCTATCTATCTATCTATCTATCTATCTATCCTCATTATGCTCCAATTTATTCCCATTTTATATCTATCTATCTATTCATCTATCTATCTATCTATCTATCTATCTATCTATCTATCTATTCTCATTATGCTTCAATCTATTCCCATTAAGTTTATTTCTATCTATCTATCTATCTATCTATCTATCTATCTATCTATCTATCTATCTATCTATCTGTGTATCTATCTTCATTATGCCCCAATTTATTCCCATTTTATATCTATCTATCTATCTATCTATCTATCTATCTATCTATCTATCTATCTATCCTCATTATGTCTTTATAAATCTATGTATCTATGATAAGATAAAAAAACATATAGGAACCGTTAATCAATATCATATGTATGACTTATAAAAGCTTCATCTGAAGTTTTAATAAAATTAAAATATTTTAGATTGATAAACGTTTCCTTTTTGTTCTTTATCTTATTCTGTCGGATTCCTGTATTTGATCTCATTCTATCTATTTATCTATCTATCTATATATATATATATATATATATATTATATATATATATGTGTGTGTGTGTGTGTGTGTGTGTATTACTATATAGATATTCAATCCGTTTCTATCTATTTCAGTCTGTTCCTCTGTCTGTCTCTCTGTCTGTCTGTCTGTCTCTCTCTCTCTCTCTCTCTATATATATATATATATATATATATATATTATATATATATCTGTATCTATCTATCTATCTATCTATCTATCTATCTATCTATCTATCTATCTATCTTAGTTCTTATCTATTTCCAATTCCTGTACGAATTTCTAACAGTACCATATCTCTCCACCCTTCCACCTCCACCTGATTTTTTCTGCGTGGGCCCCCCTTGTGCCAATATAACCCCACTTCCTCTCGCACCCGCCTACGCGGGAGAAAAAAAAAACAAAACTTCGCACTGTAACCTTCAGAGGTCAGGTCACGAAAATGGACCTGTACACATTTTGGAGAATGGCGGACAGTATTCAGTAAATTTTCAAACCGTTGTCCTTATCTATGTTGTTTTCCGCCCAACCTGTTGATCGACATATTCTTCGGCCTTTTTTTCACAAGACCTACGGTGACCTTTTTATGGGCTTAAGATTGTAAAGATTCGAACACGTATATGGGCTGGAAAAACGTTTAGGCAAATGGGAAGATAAACCACACACACACACACACACACACACACACACACACACACACACACACACATGCACGCGCACGCACACAGATCCACACAGCCGTCTATCAAGATATGGCAATCCACTTTCCTATAAATATCTCGACAGATTTCTTTTTTTTTATTATATACAGGAAGGTTCATCCTATACAAGGTCCGGAGGCCACTCAACATGGCGGGGGCAACATTAAGATTCAGTTTATATTGATATTATTACGGTTAACTCTAGACTTGAACAGGTTATGATTGTAGTGATGAGGGAAACATCCTCTTGGGAGTTGGTTCCACAGAGCAATGGTTCACAGGAAGAATATATATTCTTATGTGCGTGCGTTTGTGTGTGTTTAGTAAAGAGGGAGAAAATGGATTAAAAAAAAAAATTAATTCCATTTGTTTGCATGCACAGGTATATGTGCGTGCATGTGTGTGTGTGTGTGCATGTATAAACATTCACATCCTGGCTTATATCAGAGGCTATCCCCCAGACGAGCCTCTGCCGACGGGCAGAGCCTCGTCTCGGAAAACTGACTCCGTTTTTACGTGGTCTCTAGGGAATTTTTGCCCGTGACTACGGGCTCGGGACTCCACTTTTAATTCGGCCTTGTGCCACACCTTGCTGCTTGGGACAGCGGATAAATATTTATAGATATACATATATAAAAGTCTACACATTCTGTTAAAACTTAAAAAAAAAAAGCATCCTTGATAATGGCGAATATAATAGCCAAAAGCGTCCGGATGTATTGAAGATTTAGACACTTTATGTCCAGAAAAGAAAACTGCTGTATGAATGCAAGAAAAATTGAATAAGAAAGCTTTATTTCATTAACTTCTCAATCGTCTTTAACAAAACTTGTATAAAAGAAGGACTGCTGCCCCAAAACACAAACAACGCACTGAAGAAGGTTACAGAAATAACTGAAAAGTTCGATTCCCACAAAACATTATTACGCTCCCACACATATTAAATAAATAAGAGACACACACACATACACGCGAGAGCGCGCGCGCACACACACACACACACACATATATATATACATATATATTTGTGTATTTAGGCAGTAATCCTTCTTTCACGCAGATTTCAATGAAAACGACAGACAAGGTGCTTTTTATTAGTTTATATATATATATATATATATATATATATATATATATATATATATAGCATAATGAGAAGCCACGTATACTTTCTTAATATGTATATATAGAAAAGTTTCAAATTAAAATTATATATAATTATATATATAATTATAATATATAAAAATATATAAATTAGAGTAATTTTAATTTATTTGTAACAAACAGTTATTTCTGATGAAAAATTGAGGACAATTTGAAATATCAAATATATATATAAATAAATAAATACTTTCATAAAATAAAACATAATTTTTAATTTGAAACTTTTTATATATATATATATATATATATGGAGGAAAGCGTAACTTACGCCGTTTACATTTTACATCGAAACGTTAAAAATATAGGGACGCTCAATAGGTCAATTTAAATTCTGATATGCTATGTACTTTTAGCCCCTCTCATTCAGCGTTTGATCAGAAAATGTTTATAAAACTTTTTACACACACTGTATGTGTGTGCGTGCGTGTGTGTGTGCGTGTGTTGCTCGCGCCTACGCGCTTGACCGGATGGATATTTAAAAAGGAGCCGAGTGGGGCCTTGAAAGAGTCACGTATCATGCCCCGAAGGCCCACCTCACTCATGTGACACTTTGTCTGACCTTTTCCTCGAAAGTGAAAAAGAGAAAAACAAGACTCGTTACCAATAAGCTACACACGCACACACACACGCGCCCGCGTGTGCGCACAAACAAAGCGACAGGCATTTTTCGCGCAAAAGTGTGGAAGTCGCTTTTTACCCCAAATTATTTTTCTATTTTTATTTTCGCCTTCTCAACTTGAACCCCTCCCGCCATTTCCATCGCTTTCTAAAACGTTTTGCCATTTTCTACTTGTATTTTCTCTTTACTCTCTACCAGATGGCTTTACTCCTTTTATTTGAAATCAAGCCTCTGTCACGGATCGCTATATATATATATATTAAGCATTTCACCCCAAGCAAGGCGGGAAGCCACTAGCACGCAAGAGGTTACAGAGAGTTGGAGCGAGAGCAAATAGGAGTGATAGAGGAAAGGATGAAGAGAAGGATAGGGGATAGATCAAGTCATCTGGAGACGTCGACTAACATTACATTTGAATAGTTAGAGATTATAGCTATCAGGGAAACAGGAAATGGGGAGGGAGTTCCACAGGCGGGAGGTGCGAGACATGAAGCTATTGGAGTAGAAGAGTACATTTAACAGTTTCGACAGTGAAAGGGTGAGAGCGAGATGCCAGCCTAGTTGAACGCTTAAATTCATGAAGTCTGGGAATCAGCGAAAGCAGCTCATCGGAGCAATTACCGTGAAAGTATTCGTAAAAAAAAAACAGAGGGAGGCGACGGCACTTCTGTGATTTTCGTCTGCTGTTTGTTTTAGATGAACTTTTCTCCTGACATATTCTCCTGACTTTCTGTAATGTCTTATATTTTTTAAATACACTAAAGAATCTATAGAAAAAAAAGAAGAAGTTAAAGCCTCTAAGCCATATAAACAGGACCGGTGCAAGAGTCTTGTCCCTCTCCTCTGAATCTCTGATATGACGCCCCCCCCAACTCTACTAAACCTCAATTTTCTTAAGGTACTATCCATATAAAATACAAATTTTTATTGTAACCTAATCATGTAAAATACAGTGACACCTCGACTTAAGTCGTTTCATTTTCGAAGATACGTCGTTTTTTTTTTAAATATTATAAGGAAAAATAAAACTCGCCTTAAGTCGTTTTACTCGACTTTACGTGGGACGTTAAAAATATTAGAAACGTCAAAAAACTAAGTCTAAAATTTTATTCAAATAAATTTTTAAATTATATATATATATATATATATTATAATGTTTTCATATAGACAAAAACAGTTTACTCACTACAGAAATGCAACTTCGTTTTGGTGCATTTCAATTGCACCTCGACTGGTGAGAACCAAAATTGGTTATGAACAATTCTGTTTGTAAGCATGTCTATGTGAAACGTCACTTCCTTTTTTCCATTTGTCTGAGAATAAAATATACATATAGCAAATGAAGTTGCATCTTTGTAGTGAGTAAAGTGTTTTTGTCTATAGGAAAAAAATTATAATAAATAATTGTGGCTCTACTATCAGTATTGATCCCTCCTTTGGATAAATGCTGTGAACGTTAGAATTTATATATTATTTTAGTTCTCATTGCATCGAAGATAGATAGATAGATAGATAGACAGACAGATAGATAGATAGATAGATAGATAGATAAAATCATCAAAAACAAAACAAATATTATAATAAATTATGTTCAGCAGATGTTCATATTTCAAATTCCTGCCGAAATGCGTAACTCTTGCGTTTTTTCCGCTCCAACACCGATTTTGATTTCAAACTCGTTTACATCTGTGCTCTGCCGTTGACGTTCTTTCAATTACATTTTAATTGTGATTTAGAATACCTTTTTGCCAATGGCCGCGAAGAAATGTCCCAGTGCAAGTGCTAATGCTAAGCGTAAAGCTATATCGCAGGAAGATAAGGTGGAAATTAATTATTTTATACAGAGTACAATACGTACATTATCATAAATACTGTAATAGGCAACGCAGAGTGCTTATTTGTAATGTATAATGTGCTTATTTCGATTTAAGTCGTTTTTCGACCTAAGTCTTGACCTCTGGAACCAATTAACAACGTAGGGCGAGGAATACCTATAATGGATCTTATGCAATATAAATAAACAATTCATTTCCAAAAATTGAAAATAAATTCTGTATATCTAACTACAGATTAGAGACCTGTCATAATAGATCATTCCATCTTAAAGAAATTAACATTGTTTTGCGGCAATTTTTAACATCAACCAAATATATATATATATATATATATATATATATATATATGTGTGTGTGTGTGTGTGTGTGTGTGTGTGTGTGTGTGTGTGTGAAAAGTATAAATATAAATAAATATATATATGTATAATTATTTATATATTATATGCGCGGTACTTATTAGAAAGCGCTCAATATCAGAGATAGAACTGCCCACATATGTTTATATCTGTATGAGTCCCGACGGACGACCAAGTATGTATATGTGTCTGCATACATCGATGTTTGCGTTAGTACGATAACATAAGCGACGAAGTTTCCCCCACCACTTCCACAATAACACCAATACACACAATCTACATAAACCCCAATTTAAAAAAAAAAATTAGCAGTTTGTATGACGATTGCTAAAGCGTGAAACCCAGGGTCACAAACTCATATCTATCCAACCAAATATATATATATATATATATATATATATATATATATATATATATATAGTTAAACCTAAAGAGCCAGACAAACCTACCAAGGTTCACCTAAGCGGATCGTCAGGAAAGGCTGGCTAACAAGGTAGAAAAAGAGAACGGAATATATAGTCAATAAAGCCATAACCACGTGACCAAAAAACAAAAAACAAAAAAACAAACAAACAACGAAGAGGGTCGGGGAATACCATTTATTCAAAATTAACGAAAGAGGGAGGTGGGGTTAAAAAAGACCAACAGCGGTGGAATTATTTATTCAAAAAAAAAAGAAAGAAAGAAAGAAAGAATAAAGAATACTATAAATAATAAAGAAGAAAAAAAAAAGAAAAAGTGAAAAGTATTTAA